GGTTTCGGAAGAGTACGGACAGGCCCTAATCACCGCCCTCGCCCCTTCATCTCCATTGCTCCTTCTCTCCTTCACTTTAGGCTTGATCGCTCCTCAGATTTGGCCTCTTTCCGAGGAAGGAAGGGGCTATTCTAGTCAAAGCAATACAAGAGTTTCCATAATTAGGTACACTATCAACTGTTTTTTTTTCAAGATAATTGTTGTTGGAACACTCAAACTTTAATTTTGCACTCCAAACTTATATAGTTAGGAAGAAAAATACTATAAAGATTGTAGAATGAAAAATTTAAAATATTAATAGCAATTTCTTTTTTTATTGGTACCTTGTAAATTGTAAAACGAAAATATCAAAATCCACTTCTAATTATGTTTCTGTTATGACATAAAAAGGAAGTGATCGAGCGATGACAACCGTAGATGGGCTTTGAGCAACCATCTTTTTAGACATTTATGGATATTTTTTCTTGCTTATAAATCCTTTTTTGATATTTCACTAAGATAAATAAATTGTAATATAAAGTTTTGAGTAAGTTTATTTTACATTGCACTAAGTACATTATCAAATTAGATAAGTAAAGGAAATGCTATAAGTGTAGTCCACTAACTTTTAAAAAGAAAATGCTAAGTCCATATCTAAAGCATCTCTATAGTATAAGTGAGATTTACTTTATTATAATCCTACCTCTTTCAAAAAGAAGGTATAGAAATTGTCCACAAAATGTAGCATCATTATTTTGAAAGAAACAAAAAAGATACGAAAGGGTAAATTTGGAAATAAAAACATTTCCCTTTGCTTTTTAATAAAAAAAGTGAGGTTTGCCTCATATGTGTAGTGAGATACTTAGGGCATCTTTAAAAAAAATATGTTAAAATTGTCACGTAAACATATAACAGTAAAAATGACATCAAATTCTTTTCAAGCGAGCCTTCAGTTTTTTACGCGAGCCTTCAGTTTTTTACGTGACATTGAGTCATTTGAAGGCAAGACCTTTTGCTGTCAAATTTGACAAAAGGTGTCAAATCCATTTAATAAGTTTTTAATAAATGTTACTGTGTTTTAAGTATTTGGTTGATTATCTCAATAATTGGACCCTACGAGAGAATAAAAAATTTATAGGGTAATATTATTATTTAACATATTGGATGGAGCAAAAAATTGTATAAAATACCAAATTGCCACACAAACCATCAAATATCATTATGATGTTTCAAAATTTGACATATTCCTTGAAGATGCTCCTACATTAAAAAGTATAAATACTAAATTAAAGTATTTTAAGGTATGTTTACTTAGGATACCTTCATTTTCATACCCAAAACTTATGAAACCTATCTACTTTTCATTCATTTAGTTATTAATATTGGTGATATGGTGAATCAAGTTTAGACATCCAATGTAAAAGTAAATGCTATTATCGAACTTGAACTACAAGGCCTATACTTAGTTTAAGTTTTTTTTTTTATTGCAATTTTTTGGTGTTTGAACATGAGATTTTGCAGACATATTTTGTGATTTAGCGTAAATTCTCACTCTGTAGTGTAAATATATCTTTATATTAAAAAAACATGAATTTTTGCTACTGATGTGTTTCTAATCTTATATGTAGAAGATCAAACTCACTACTATGAAAGGCCTTTATCAAGTTGTATTTGTTTTACGAGGGAGCTTTAACAAAACACTTCCGGTAATATTCACTTTTAACGAAAAACCACATTTATACATTTTCCTAGTACTATTCATTATACATTTAAAATGGCTTTTCATTAAAATGAACGTTTTTTTAGACTTTTCGTTAGTTTTTCTTAATTGGTGCACTTGTTTGACACACTGATGAGCTTACTATTATATATTATTTGAGGCCACTTGGACTGAAGAATGTGTTAATTTGTGTGTCCAAATAGCGAACACTACTTGCCTCAACGCTCTTAAATTTGGGCCATTTGCGAGGGAATAGGCCCAAACACCAACACGCCCATTATCCACCTCGTTCGTAGGGAGCCGGCAGCTGGCTTGGCTTGGCTTGGCTGTCAGTCAGTCTATCACGTTCACATATTTCACTCTGTACTTTAGGAGTTGGACCTCCACAGTCCACAGACAGGAAGAGCCAGGCGTCTCTATGCTAGTAAACAGAAAAACTCAATCCTTATCTCTCTCCATCTGTCTCTCTCTTTTTTCTTGAGGGAGAGGGGGCGAGCGCTATGGCAGCGAAAGTGCTATCATCCCCTCCGCACCCGCATCCAAATCCTCTTAGTTCCCGTCCTCTGAAAATACTCCACGTAACCCACCACCAGCAGAGGCAGCAGCAGCCATGGCGGCTGAGCCAGCGTTCATCAGGAAGTTCAGGAACCAACAAGAAGAGAGAGGTGGTGATGAGCTCCCTCCACGAGTCTCTTGTTAGTACGTCGTCGTCTCTGGTACCTCTCTTACTGGAACCACCGCAGCAACTGAATGCATCCAGCAGCAGCATCAGCAGCTCCCTCATGTTTGTGGTTGCAGCTGCAGACGGCGCCGTAGGTTATTCGTTGGCCAGTTACTACACATCCCTGGGTCTCTTCGTCATCTCTGTTCCTGGCCTTTGGTCCCTCATCAAACGTTCTGTTAAATCCAAGGTCTGTAATTTTGTAATTATGCCCTCAATTTTCACTTAAACAACATGGGCGCCCGAACTGAATATGAACATATGTAAACGCGAGGATATCAGGTCGTGCAGAAGACGTTTGTAGGTGAAGAGAAGAAGGCACCAAGCCAAGTCGCCGGTGAAATCCTCTCTTTTTTCACTCGCAACAATTTCGTGGTCACTGATCGAGGGGAGACCATTACGTAATCCACAACTCCACCTTACCTACTTTCAACTTACACAATTTGAAAGTTGACATCCATTTCTTCGTTCAATGTACATTGAATCTAGTGACGAGATGATGCTGCAATTATATATGGACATGTTATCTGTTTCTTTGGGAATTTCCATGTGTTGCATTCTCCATGAACATCATCATATATGCATATACTACTGTGGTTTCTATTGTTTGCCTTGCCATTGCCAAATTGCCAAGGAGTTTGGGTGTTGTAACAATATCTATACATAATAGTGAGTGAATAGACATGCTCAGATATTTCTGTCTTGTCTTTGAATGGTATGAAGGTTTGAAGGCATGATGGTTCCAAGTCGAGGCCAGGCGGCATTGCTCACTTTTTGCACCTGCATCAGCCTCGCAAGCGTAGCTCTTGTTCTTACCATAACTGTTCCCGATTTCGGCAATAACTGGTTTTGGCTCACCACCTTAAGTCCGTTGGCGTAAGTAGTGCAAAAGCACCCACACGCTTCAATTCCAATTCACTTATCTGTGTCAAATTGCATACGAGTGCTCCAAAACTAAAAAATGTACTGATGTTTTCAAAATGGAACACAGGGGCGCATATTACTGGAAGCGAGCGTCGCGAAAGGAGCAGATCAAGGTCAAAATGATGGTCATTGACGATGGTGAACAGTCAGAGATCATCGTTCAAGGGGATGACCAGCAAGTAGAGCAAATGAGAAAGGAGCTTCAACTGAGTGAGAAAGGAATGGTGTATGTTAAGGGCATATTCGAGAGATAAAGAAATACCTCTATCTCTATATTCAATTTCAATGTTTTGCTCAGAGTCAGAGAGGAAATTAGGAAATGAAGCTGTTCTTGTATTAGATCCTTGAAAGATTTTGAGATATGTAGACACAATCATTCAATTTGACCTAAATATGTGTGTGTGTGGTGTGTGTGTGTGTATATATATATATGTATAGCTATAAGCTACTACTAAATAGATTGGTTCAGTTGTCTTCAAAACTCTGCTCCCTTAGAGGGTTGTCACAAACTCTTATCATGCATTTGAGTACCGACACCTTCGCGGATTTAGGCTCAATTAGTAAGAAATGTACTATAAGAAAACATTAGTTATAGGGATTGAAAATGCACTATATAATCATTCCAACAAGTCATTTACAAATCCCTTTATCTCATGTTTTTAAAACAATTCATACTACCGTAGTACCGTAGTAATCCATGTCCCTTATTACTTTGCAATCCCTCATCCAAACACATCTAATGAACGAGGCCGAGAGCACCATCATGCAATTTGGTAAAAACAATAAGGACCCGTTTGTTTGGCTTCACTAAGTTTCATTGGACTATACTGGATTAGCTTTTAGTGTAGTCCAGCGTTTATTGTGATGAGGGACTAATATTAATGAGATTAGCTGGGACTCGCCCAGACTAACGGCATCGCTAGCAGTTTTAGTGAGAGTCCCCGAAAACCACAGGACTAGCTAAGGCCTGCTTCGTCCTACTCCCATTGCTCTGTTGGCGCCCTCTCTGCAACCGCAGCTTCATCTTCTTTGCAACCACAACTTCATCTTCTTTGCAACCATAGCGTCCTCTTTTTGCACACATCTGCACATCTTCGCAAATCCGCTCGAATCACAAAACCCAAATTCGCTAAGATTGCAAAACCCATATTTGAATCGCAAAACCCAGACACGAATTGCAAATCCCATATTCAAATTGCAAACCCAGATTCGAATTGCAAAACCAAGTTCGTTTGAATCTTTGCAAAACCCAGATTTTATAGGAAAATTTTGTGGCCTCAAATCCAAAAGAATATAACCAAAACCCAAGGGTGCTCTGCATACCAAATTCCTTCTGCAACTTTCAAGAGAGAGATAGAGATTCTAGATAGGGAAATTGGGGCACAATTTTTTTATTTATTTTTAGATCCATTTGGTGCACAATTATATATGTACAGAGTTCATTGTTTTCGGGAGAAGGAATGCAGTTGACTAGAAAAAAGAGAATGAAAATGAAAAAAAAAAGAAAAAAGAGTTATTTTTTATTAGTTTGGTTATTAGTCCGACACTGCACCAAACGTTTCACTAAGTTAGTCCAGCTTAGTCTAGTCTAAGCCAGTCCAACTTAGACCCTGCAGCTAGTCCAGTCCGAGACAGTCCGATACAACAAACGCACCCTAATAAACCTCAATAGATAAATAAATCAAGTTTTCTTGATTCTTAAATAACAGAATCCTCAGTTCAGCAAAGTTTGGAGCCTTTGGTACAGTTGATGCTCAGCAAAGCCAAGGCAACTTATTGACAATCAATAGCAACACCACCCAGAAAGAGTAGCATAATATGAAAACGCTATTTCTAAACAACCCAAAGGGGGAAAAGAGAGTAAAATTAAAAGTAAAAGTGTTTGTAACAAATCTTCGACATTATCTGATTATGAAAAAGAACTCATCCAGAACCGACCGGTCCGCTAGAGAACAAGGCCAAGGTTTTCAGCCAATCAGTAACTTGTTCTCCTCCAAGAAGGAATAAGTGGGTACCTCCAGATTGTACGGTGCTGGTCCCTTGCGGATCCTTCCAGAAATATCATAGTGGGAACCATGGCATGGACAAAACCATCCACCAAAATCACCAGCATTAGGCAAGGGAATGCAACCCAGATGCGTGCAAACTCCCACAACAATGAGCCATTCCGGGTTTTTAACCCTCTCAGCATCTTGCTGCGGATCACGGAGAGAATTAACATCTACACTATTTGCCAGCTTGATATCATCGTCAGTTCGGCGTCTGATGAAGACTGGTTTTCCACGCCACTTAACAGTCACAGTTGAACCTGGCTCAATGCTGGAGAGATCAACCTCGAGCGAGGCCATGGCAAGAACATCCTTACTGGCTGACATGCTTAGCACAAACTTAAGGATAAGCAGACGAATCAGAGAAGCATAGACAAACCTACCACCTGTGAGGACAAAGTAGGCAAATGCACGCTTGCTGGGGTCACCTGGAGGGTAACGCTCATGGTTGTACTCGTCATAAACTATCTTTGAACTAGGATTCTTGACGGCTGCGACAGTTGGAGGAACGTCTGGAACTAGATTGTTGTCCTGCGATGGGGTCACTGAACCAGACACAAAACCTGAAGCAATCGATCGATTAGAACAAGAGCAATATAAAAATAAAAGCCATTGATTGACCCAACGGAGCTATATGCATCATTCTGCATAGACTTGAATAATTACTAAAAGCTGTGAACTTTAGAAAAGTTAGCTTTTAAAGACTTCAACTTGATGCTTCATGACCTTTTTTTCTTTGTCTTTTATTTCTTTCTTTTTCAATACGTGATTTAGAACAGAAATTTGTGAAAGGGATGCATAAACAGATTTCTAACACAAATATACAGCATTATTACGGTACCAAAGTTAAATTCACCATCAATGGGAGCTCAATTTAAACTAAACTAAAATATTCATTGATCAGCTCATAAAGATAATACACGCAAACACAATATCAAGATCAATAATCACCCATTCCCAAAAATCAGCGATAAATTCTGATGAAATTCCAGCCGATAATTTTGGGGAGAAAAACCCTAAATAACCAGTAGCCACGAAAGAGGGAGAGAAATGAGGGGAATCCTAACCTCTGGACGGAAGATAGAAGTCAGGGGTGAAATAGGCGGATCTGAGCTCATCGGAGGAGTCACGGTCGTCGATGAGATTTCGAGACAGGATAGAGGAGGTGGCAGTGCCGGTGGCGGCCTGGTTGGACCTCCATGGCGACGCGGACACAGAACAGAGCCTCCTCGCTGCAACCCTCAACATATTGTTTTCCTTTTTATTTTTCTTCTTTTTGTAATTATTCTTCTGAGTTTTGAGGTTTACGACTGTTGCGCTGCGAAATGGTCTTTTGCGTTTCGCTGCTATACAGATGCTGCCTGTGGAGAAAGACGGGGTACAGAGAGAGAAAAGGGTAGGGATAAAATGGGCAAACCAGATTTTCCCTTTGCGATGGGAATTTGGAACAATAGGGAAATGACCGTGTTATCGATAAATTTATATTTAGCTGGTGGCCTTGATTTTGGCACGTCAGTATCCCATTCATCTTTTTCTTGTGTTTCCTAAATTTTAGTTAAAAATTATTATTAACATTAATTTTTTTTTAACAAACGATATTTTTAACTTTAAGTAGGGAATAAATTAAGCTTCACAATAAACTAACAATAATATGGTACAAATTCACTTTTGACAATAATCGAACTTAAAACCTCTTATTTACAAATTTCTGATATGTAACCTATATAACTTCCTGGTTCTTAAAATTTAAGGACAATAAAATCATTTAGTCAAATTTTTGTTAATAAAATTAGCGGAGGTGAATGCCAAGTGCAAGGGTAAATTAGACATCTAACAAGTCTAAAACACATCGCATTGGCTCAAAGCTTGCTAATTTTGTTAAAAAATTTAACATATTTAAGTCACTGTTCTTAAATTGTAATAATTAGTGAATTATAGAATTTAAATGGGTAAATTACATAGTAACCATTCAAGTTTGAGGTCTATTACAACCCCATACAACATTTTTAAAATATTTCACTTTCATACTTCAAGTACTATTTTATTTCAATATAATACATCTGTTAGATTTTCTATCCATTAATCCGTTAAATGCTGACCTGGCTGACACATTTGTGCCACGTGGCTAACAAAATAATTTTTTAATTTTTTTTAAAAAAACCTAAACCTTCTAACTAAATTATAAAATTTAAAAAATAAAAAAAACAAAACAAAAACCAAAGCCCACTTCGTCTTCCCACTCCCTCCCACCCCCCAAAACCTAACCTGCAACCTGCAACCCAGAAGAAAAAGAGGAGGAAAAAAAAAAAACTCATCTTCATCTTCCCCATGGCACCCATCGCGCACCTCCCGTCTTTCCCAAACCCACCGCACCCATCCTCCACGTCCTCCTCCACACCCACCCTCGCACTCATCGCGCACCCACCCTTTACACACCCCACCGCACCCATCTTCTTCCCCATCTTCATCTTCTCCGCAATCCAGAAGAAAAAAAAAAAAAAAAAAACCCATTTAGTTCGTCTTTCCCCCTCCTCCTCCCCTCTCTTCTTCCCCCAACCCCTATCTGCAACCTAGAAGAAAGGGAAAGAAAAAAAAAACAAAACCCAAATCCCGTCCGCCATCGTCGGGTTCATGAGGTGAAAATGGAAGGAATGATTGTGTATTTAAGGAGTGGGGTGTGTAGAGGAGGAAAGAGGGTGGGTGTGGAGGGTGGGTGCGGGTCCGCCCAACCCCCTACCTGCAACTTAGAAGAAAAAAAAAACCCATATCTCGTCCGCCATCATCGGGTTCGTAAGGTGAAAATGGGAGGAATGTGTGTGGATTTAAGGAGTGAAGTGTGTAGATGAGGGAAGAGGGTGGGTGCAGAGGAAGGGTGCGGATGCGCTCGGGGAAGGTGGGGGTGGGCTGGGCTGGGTTGTAGGGGGAAAAAGATGAATATGAGGGAGAAGAGAGGAGAGGAGAGGGTGAGGAAGAGTAATAAGGTTTCTGTGAGGTGGGTGGGTGGGGGTGGGGGAAAAAGGATATGGGTTTGTTTTTGGTGGGAGGGGGGGGTTGCGGGGAGATGGATGAGTTGTATTTATTTTTGTTGTTGTTGTTGAGAAAATTCAGGTTTAAAAAAAATTAAAAAATTATTTGTTTTGCCACGTGGCACAAATGTGGTAGTCACGTCAGCGCTTAACGGATTAATGAATAGAAAATCTAATAGATGTATTATATTGAAATAAAATAGTACTTGAGGTATGAAAGTAAAATGTTTTAAAGATATTGTATGAGGTTGTAATATACCTCAAATTTAAGGAGCTACTATATAATTTATCCAATTTAAATTGTGAAAACTATAACTGTTGAGACCAAAGTGGAACCTCTCCAAAGTGACAAGAGTTAACAATAATTCGGCTTTTTTCGGATTACATAACGTTAGTTAACCCATTTTACCTACCTGACTATGTCTATATCTATGTATAAAGCCAACATGGAAAAAAATAACTGCAACTTAAATAAGTGCGTTCGTCCCGAATATGTCCCTGTACTTAAATATGAAAACTTATGGTGGACTAAAGACTTGGATTGGGCCAGTCATGGAAATATATGCACTAAGAGTTGGGTTTCAAACATGGGCCTACATCCTAAAAGGTTTGGCCAGGCCAGTCCAGTCCAATCCAATTGCATTGTCGTCGGCGTCGTCTAAATAGCGTCGAGTCCACCCGCACAAAATCTCTCAACACAGAGGGGACAGCAAAAAGAAACACTGAAGAAAGAGTGAGTGATGGAATTGGAAGGAATCAGTAAGAAAGAGAAAGAAGAAAGCGGCGGCGGCGGAGGAGGAGGAGGGGGTGAGATTGAGAAGGTAAATTTGTCGTCGGCGGGGGCGTCGGAGATAGAGTACGTGAGCTATGGAGGAGAAGAGCACCTCCCTCTAATAATGGGGCTGGTGGACCAAGAACTGAGCGAGCCGTACTCCATCTTCACCTATCGGTACTTCGTGTATCTGTGGCCGCAGCTATGTTTCATGGCGTTCCACGGAGGCAGGTGCGTGGGGACGGTGGTGTGTAAGATGGGGGAGCACCGCAACACCTACAGAGGGTACATCGCCATGCTTGTCGTCATCAAGCCGTACAGAGGCAAAGGCATCGCCACCCAACTAGTCACCAGATCTATTCAAGTCATGAAGGAATCTGGCTGCGAAGAGGTATCTCTCTGTTTTCGTAAAATAAAATCAATCTGTTTTTGGAGCCCTAGCCTGGCCGCTGTTGTCACGAATGAATGACTTGATTGGATTGGATTGGATTGGATTGGATTGGATTCAGGTAACGCTGGAGGCAGAAGTGACAAATAAAGGAGCTCTGGCGCTGTACGGGCGTCTTGGATTTATACGGGCAAAGAGGCTATTCCGGTACTACTTGAACGGGGTGGATGCTTTCCGTCTGAAGCTGCTGTTTCCCCGCCCTCTTTACTCTCTTCCTTCCCAATCCCAGGCTAATAATGACAACATGGCCATGCCATTGCCCATGGAAGATTGACTCTGGCTCGCAGCATTACCTTTTCACATGATGAGATTCAAGAGATTCAAGAAGCTTTTCTTGTAATTTGTGTGCACTCGAATTCGATTCACTTGTTCTTCCTACCAATTTTCTACTTGATCAAACAACTCAGAGCTTGAGAATATAATTGAAAACGTCAAGATAGATTACACTGATCGAACTTATAATATTCATTCATATAGCTACCATTACCAGGTTGCGTTTGAGTATGTTACCTCTGCTTTGCTAAGCCCTTCCCCAAAGAAGTCGCGGCGCCTCCAGGGATCACTTGTTTCTTTCAAGCCTTTGATAGATTTCAATGGTAAGAGGATAATAGTCCATGCGGATCTCAAACCTTACCTCTGTGTTGTAAATAATGGTAGGGGAAACAATAAGAAAACGACATACCATCTGAACATCAAAGTAGAAAACAAAGATTATGGGGACAAAACTGGGTAGACTACTTCCCTTTAAAAACCATCTGTCTGGAATACGAATCCTGCAATGGTGGTAGCAGTATAGATACCATTAAGAAGGTCCAACTCATAATTAAACGAAAACAACTTAGTGTCAGACACATTACCATACGGTTATATTTTTATCGTTAGGGATATCGCAATATCTTGAAGGTACACAAAATAGACATTGGTTGTGAAATCTTCAAATCGTGCCAAGCTCACTACACCTCACTATGTTCACAAAATCGACATTGTTGAACGTATTCAAAGTACTTGTGGTTTTTTATCCATCGTTGAGTCTCAACGACGATCTATGAAGATAATGCCGAATGTATTGAGGAGACCAAGCGAGGATACATCAACAAAGTCAAGACCAAGCTTATTACGTCTGCATCACATTAGCAAAAGCGTTAGAATAATTGAAGTCAAACTGATTTTATCCCAGTATAACATTGCCGACCTATTCATGAAGTCACTGCCAAAGTCAACTTTTCATAAGTTTGTTCAAGGCATTAGTATGCCTATCTTATTTGAAATGCTTCTAGGGAGAGTTTTGTCCATTTCAAGAGAGTATCATGAAATATACTTACTTTACCTTAATGTATTATTTAGATAAAGCACTTTTTTTTTTTTGTGGGTTTTTGCTAATCTAATAAGATTTTGACGAGACAATCACATCAAAATGGTTATATCTTTGTGTGCGTTTTCTACTACTTATATCCTCAAGATGTTAAGTATCGACGTGGTACATTAACTCACATTTTCTACTTAGACTATTAGTTTTGTCCCGTCAAGATTTACCATGGTCGGGTTTTGGTGAAACTTAAATTTTATAGGTTGGGTGTAGAGATACTAGGGTTAAAAGAAAATTCCAAATCCGGAATCAGGATAAGGGAGGGATCGACGCAGCCTCCGAGCAAGCGTAGAAGCTGAGACTTGAGCCGCGCCGCGCCCGAGCGCGCGAATGAACCATTCAATGTTAAATTAACGGTTCCCCGAAGCCACACACACTCGTCTCATCTCCCTCTTGCTCGCTCTCTCATGCTCTGTGGGTGTCCGTCTCTCTTCCAACTCCTAAACCCCATCCGATAATACGAAACGCTCCTCCTCTCTCCACATTTAATTGGGTTTTCTTAGGGCAAAATTCCCCATTTTTTTGGGTTTCTTATTGCAAACCTTGGCAACTCTAATTCTTGGCTTTCTGTTCGATGCCTAATCACCAGATATTTCAGGTATTGTCCTTTTCTTTTCTTTTTCCTGTTAAGTTACGCCTTCCATTGTCTAGGCTTCCGGTTTTCAATTTCAACATGAGGCATATGAATGCCGTTTCTTGTATATTTTATCCTTTTTATTCTTTAATTTTTCATATCGGGTTGGTTCTCACTGCCAATTTGATTCCTAAGTGGGTTTCCAATCGTCAGCAAATTTGTATGGGTGTTTGGGGATTGCGTCTTTCATTCAGAAGTTG